AAGACGGCGAACACACAGAAACCTTCTGGTAAACCACCATCACCATGTTGGTCCTGCGGATCATGGCACTTTGTGAAGTTATGCCCATTTAAGAACCACAAATGCCGCCAATGTCATCGCATTGGTCATAAAGAAGGTTACTGCTCATCAGATAGACGTCAGTTCAAACATCGTGGCGTAAAGGTGAAGCGACAGCCACAGAGTCAAAAGCACATTTGCAACTTTTAAAGTGGGATTTCAAAGTAAACGGAAGTATGTGAACTTATTAGTGAATGAAAAACCTATTCGTCTTCAATTAGACACTGCTTCCGACATTACGCTGATCTCCAAGAACACATGGCGTAAGCTAGGGTGCCCACGCATCCGACCAACAGAGCATGTTGCTCGAAATGCTTCAGGCGACATAGTGAAGCTAACTGGAGAAGTCACCTGCAACGTGCAGTTCAAGGAACATAAATTCACTGACGTTTGTTATCTAACAAATCGGCATGATTTAGATCTATTGGGATTGGACTGGATTGAGAAGATTGATGTCTTAAATAGTTTATTAAATGAAGTATGTTCTCATAATCCTTGCTCTAATTCTATCCAAAATTCTCATGATATTTCCGAATCAAATGCCTCAGTTGTGTTATGTTCCCCTGATGTTTATGAACTAAATGCTTCCGATGTAACATGTTCTCGTAATATTTCGGAATCGAATTCCTCCGATTTAATGTGTTCTCATAATGATGTCAAATCAAATACCTCCGATTTGATGTGTTCTCATAATGATGCTAAATCAAATAACTCCGATGCAACATGTTCACAAAATGTTTCCCCATCAAATTCGTCAAACAAAGTATGCTGCCGTAATATCTCAAAATCTCATGCATCTTATTCCTCTAAAATGTCGACCACATCCCATGTAAATCATCTTCGGCAAAAACATGCAGATGTATTCCAAAACAAACTGGGCTGTTGTAAGTTCACCAAAGTTTTCTTGTCGTTAAAGCAAAATGCAAAACCTGTCTTCAGACCAAAACGACCAGTACCTTATGCTGCTCTGTCAGTCGTTGACCAGGAACTTGACAGGCTAGAAGCACTGGGTGTCATTCAGCCAGTAAATTACTCACCATGGGCTGCTCCCATAGTAGTCGTGAGAAAGGCAAATGGAACTGTTCGCATATGTGCTGATTTTTCCACTGGTCTAAATGATGCTTTAGAGGATCACACCTATCCACTTCCCATACAGGAAGATTTATTTATCAAACTAAATGGAGGGAAGTATTTTGCTAAGATTGACCTTGCTGACGCATATCTCCAAATAGCAGTTGATCCAGTCTCCCAACCACTACTGACGATTAACACTCACAGAGGCCTTTATCAATATAAACGTTTGCCTTTTGGTGTGAAACCAGCACCAGCTATTTTTCAACAAATTATGGACACTATGTTGGCAAATTTGCCAGGAGTCGCTGTCTATCTGGTTGATGTTATCGCTACAGGTTCCAGTAAGTCCGATTTATTTGATCGACTTGATGCTGTTTTGACCAAAATATCTGAGTATGGATTTTATCTAAAAGAAGAGAAGTGTAAATTTTTCATGGACTCGGTAAAATATCTTGGTTTTGTTTTCGACAAAAATGGACGACGCCCAGATCCAGAAAACGTACGAGCTATCCAAAATATGCCTCCACCATCTAACGTCGCAACTCTACGCTCGTTCCTTGGTCTTATCAGTTATTACAGTAACTTTTTACCAGAATTGCATCGCCTACGAGCACCCATGAACCATCTATTATCCAAAAATGTAAAATGGAACTGGTCCACTGAGTGTCAAAAGAGTTTTGACAAAGTAAAGTCACTATTAATATCGGACCTACTTCTTACGTATTTTGATCCCTCACTGGAAATCGTTGTTGCCGCAGATGCTTCTGATTATGGTGTCGGAGCTGTTATATCCCACAGGTTTCAAGACGGCACAGAGAAAGCTATAGCCCATGCCTCCAGAACGTTGACTTCGGCAGAACGCAAGTACAGCCAAATTGAGAAAGAAGGATTGGCACTAGTTTTTGCAGTTAAGAAGTTTCACAAAATGCTGCATGGTAGAAAATTTACCTTATTTACTGATCATAAACCCCTATTATCGATCTTTGGATCTAAGAAAGGTATACCTGTTTATACTGCAAATCGCCTCCAACGATGGGCTACAATGTTGTTGGGTTATGATTTCACTATCAAATACAAATCTACCTCTGACTTTGGTCATGCTGATGCACTATCGCGCTTAATAAGAAATCATAAGCTTGAAAATGAAGATACTGTCATTGCTTCTATATCAGTGGAAGAAGATGTAAGCAGCATGTTGCTCAATTCAACGCGAATTCTTCCAGTGACAGCTGCTCGAATCGCTGATCACACTCTCCGTGATCCTATCTTAAGGCAACTAGCTACATTTATCCGGCGTGGTTGGCCCCCACGTATAACATCTCATGAACTAAAACAGTATTATCAACGACGCCAATCTTTATCCATCGTAAATGATTGTATTATGTTCGCTGATCGCGTAGTAATTCCAAGTAACCTACGCCCACTCGTTCTGAAACAACTGCAAACAGCTCATCCAGGTATTGGAAGAATGAAAGCTATTGCTCGAAGTTATGTATACTGGCCTAACATTGATGAACACATCGAAGACTTAGTGCGTGCGTGCAGAAAATGTGCTGCAGCCTCGAAATGTCCACGGAAAGCTGAACTCAATTCTTGGCCATCCCCGAAAGAACCTTGGTCGCGTATACACATTGATTTCGCCGGCCCATTTCAAGGTACATATTTTCTCATTTGTGTCGATGCCTACTCAAAGTGGCCAGAGATTCTACCCATGAAGCAAATCACGTCGCAAGAGACTATTATCGAGTTACGGCAGTTATTCTCTCGTTTCGGAGTCCCAGATATTCTCGTGTCAGATAATGGCACTCAGTTTACTTCTTCCATTTTCTCTGACTTCTGCAACAGGTTTGGGGTCAAACATGTTCGTTCACCTCCATACCATCCACAATCAAATGGTCAAGCAGAAAGGATTGTGGATACCTTCAAAAGAGCGCTACTGAAGGCAAGGGGGGAAGGGAAGATAAAGGAAATTCTTGATGATTTTCTGTTAGTCTACAGAACGACTCCAAATCCATCAGCGCCGAATAAATTGTCTCCAGCAGAAATTATGTTTGGTAGAAAAGTTAAAACTGCTCTCGATGCCATAAAACCAAAGCAAAATGATGTAGGAAGAAGAAACCAGAAGATGGAATCTCAATTTAATCGTCACCATGGGGCGAAAAGTAGAATCTTCCGAGATAATCAAAAAGTATATGTCCGTGATTTCCGATACTCACCTCCACAATGGACCAGTGGACGCATACTTGGGAGACGAGAGAATGTAATGTATGTGGTAGAGGTTGAAGGCCAAAAGTGGATACGTCACGCTAACCACATACTGGAAAGTTCTGGTACTCCTCAGAAAACCGAGAAAATGTGCTCATTGTGGGAAGTCTTCCTGAACAGTTTCGACATAGGAAGTCCAGCAACTAAGAAAACTGTACAACTGGAACAACATCCTATTAGGAGATCACAACGGAAACGCAGAAGGCCCGATATACTGCAGATGGACCCGAAGAGAAGAGCATATACTTCTGAGGGGAGATATCAGTGATGATATCTTAGCTACTGTTTGTAATTAGTGTCTAACCGTTTTCTTTTTTTTGTTTATTCCAGTTAACCCAATCGGTCACGACCACAACGCAATCCAGTTTTCCTTTATGCACTTAATCAATGGCAGTGATGACATAACTTTTTTTTGTCAAGGGGGAAGATGATGTGATCCGCAAAACTAGAAGCCTGAACAAATTACGGAAGCTATTTTCGGGGACGTTAATTCATTTAATTCAAAGCTTGTAAAACTGTAATATTTACTTTTGCCCCTAGCCTATTCTACAGATCATAAGCTTTCGTTTGATGTATAATTCATCGCCATAGCATTTTCTGCCCTAAAGCTATTGTCATTTAGACGTAATCTTTTGTACCCTATTTTCTACTATAATTCCCCAGTTTTGGACATGATTGTATTTTTCTAATTATTGTACGTTGTGGTCCGCTTAGTCATCTATTTATTCATGTAACTTTTCACCCTAATCTGAATTGGGAATTCGAGTGCTAGATCGGGTTGGAATAAAGTGATTAGTGTTCCATCTGTCTTGTCTTCTCTCTCTCTCTCGTGCTTGCCAGCCAATCAGGGACAGAATAGTTTTCGTCTCTCTACCCCTATTTCGAACTCACGCATATTGTCCTCAAGGTTAAGCCAGTCAGTCTATCGTGTCAAGGTCTTAATCTACATTATACTCCGCACTAAGTGGGTAGACCGATTCAAGGACGTAACAGCAACCATAGCAACAACCTTGAAGTTGTGGGCAGGTTTGAGTATTGTGATGACCCGATTAAGTCATGCTGCCTGGAACACTCGTCACTTCAGGTCTTATCGAGGTAGGTAAGTTGGTTGGGGGACGTAGGATTGAAAACAGACACTTAAGGATTTAAGTCAATAGCGTACTGGAGACTGTACAGGGGTATAGAAGTAGTAAGGTGCTTCCCTCAGATGAACAACAACATCCCCAGAGATCCTTCCACCTCACAACAGAAAGAAGGGGTTAGAAAAGGCCCGCCCTAATAATTGCAAACCTCACCCTACCCCATGGATTCCCATTATCAGTGGTAAGTTTTAAAAAGTACAGAGATAACACACCTAGAATTACCTAAAAAAGGGCCATGTTTAACTGACCTCAAGCAGCGATTTCTTGGGGTCTTTGGTTATACTCCAAGATCATCAGAAACACTCCATAACTCAGTTTTATTCCCAGGTAATTTATAAAGAAGTACTTATCCACGACATGATCAACTAAGAACCGAAAGCCAATCTCATACCTTCTAAAGCATCCAAAACAAAATCGGAAAATAGAGGAAAAAAGGCTAACCTTGATTTAGTTGTTCTTCACGAAACGGCAAAGGATAATTTGATTGTTGATAAACAAAATTTGTTTGATTTGTCATTACTCTCGATGTTACAATTGTTGTTGTATTATTTACCAGTGATAAATTCTTTTCAGCTTTATCAATACAAAGAACACGAATAGGTTCGTGTTCAGATTTCCATATTGAATCAAGTAATAATTCATCTTGTATCATCATTTCACCCATAGTTAAATGCGGAAAATGATTTGTAACCAATCTGGACAAACAAAATAACAATAGATATAACCATAAGGGATTTGTGGAAATTGTTGAATTTTCATAGTTTACTTCATGAAATGATCTTAGTTAGACAATCACTAAAAGCTAGGAAGCACTGGACGAATGGTTCGTTTTAATATAGGACACGTCAATAGTTAAATATTAATCATTAATTATAAAACAACCATCGTTATCATCATATCGAAATGAAGAACTCAAACACAGAAACTGATATCGATCATAGCATTGCTAATTCCGCAAATTACTTATTACTCAATAAATAAGAAAGAAAATGAATAATATGTGATTTTACTCCAAAAAAAAACTGATTGATTTAAATGTTATGTAAGATCTTTGAGATGATCTAGAACACCGTTGGATTCCGGCCAAGTGGTCTAGAGGCAAAGTGTTCACACAAGACTGGAGGTCCTAGGTCCAAGTTCCGTGTGAGGGATCTTGGATTCGTAATGCTGAGGCGTTCCCAACTAGGACGATATGGTCATCTATTGCCTCTAGGTTTTCAATGGTGGTCTAACATTGATCGGGTCATGACCCTGATAGAAAGGTATTTTCATTGAGCATTTGATGCGATGAAAGACAAATGTCATTCACCATCATTCTGCCACCAGGCATTGCAATTATGACTGGTGATACATACCACTTATATCTGTCGACATCAGTAGCTCACACTACACCATGAATTCAGCAAATAAGTTACGACAAACCAATAAATGATACATTATTTATGAAAATTTAATGGATTATAAGAAGCAAAGTAGCTCAAAATATCAATAGAATGTGATACATCGATCAGGAAGTAAAATGAAATATGTGACTAGAACATAATTAATTAATATGTTAACGAAAATTTAATACAACACTTTTTCACCAAACTTATTATCATTGTGCGAATATAAATTTTTAAAATACCGGATTATGATAAATATATTATACCTAACTGATTAATGATAAGTTAATATTTCTCCTGATAGTCAGTCAGTCAGTCACAACGTAGAACTTTGTACGTACGTACATCAGTTCGAGTTGCCATACCACATCAGCACAGAGATGCAGTTGTCGATTCAAATCCCGTAGTTGTAGAAGTAGTAAGAGTATAAGCATTAATGTGAAAAATTAGGGTTTGAAGATGTTATTGAAGAAGTATAATCCAGTGAAATAAATTTGGAAAGAGAAGAAAGATAGAGACATGAAGAATTCAGAAGATTAGAATTTGGCAGAACACAAAGAGTGGATGCACCTCCGCCATTGCAAACGATTTTCAGAGATTAAAAATATACTTTGGATTGTAACTTGATTAATACCACTCGATCAGCATTAAAAACGACGCTAGTCAACACTCAGTGATTAATCAGTTACAAACATTTCAGTTCTATAGGAGGTCAATCGGGGCCCAAATAGCTCAGCAGTAAATTCTCAGAATGTTAAGCTAAGTAACCCGGGCTTGAACCATACAGGGAGCGTAAATCCCTTCAACATCGTGAGTACACCTTTCTGATGAGTGCCAACTAACACAAAACCTAAGTCAAACAGAACCTCCTAGCGACTAACCCTTCTGACAAGAAAACTCAATAAAGCATACATACATATGTAGTTGCTTCGTAATCTGATGATGAGATTAAAAAAATGTTTACACACATTTACGTTATTTTTGTATTAGTTTGTCGTTCGGATACTGATTCATTATTTAGAAAAAACTGATAATAAATAAGACAAGAGGAAGATTCAAGTGAACATAAGTTGGTCTGGTTACACATGCACACAAATCTCATTCAAACCTCAAAGCAAAAACACGGGCACAATCACAAAATCATCGAACAGAATGCATTAAGCAATTATCATTACACTCAAGAGGCATAGAAAAATATTGGACAAAGAAGTGTTTAAAAAGAAGGATATAATCATCAGAAAACGAAAACTGTTAATGACTTCTATTCTTATCAGTATAGGGTAGTGGAGATTGTTGAGTTTTAAGATCATGAACCGATCAATGTTAGACCACCATTGAAAACCTGCAAACACTAGACGGTTGTTTCGTCCTAGTACGGGACTTCTTGGTAGTGCACATTCACGACCCCACATGCGGGATTCTAACCCAGGACATTCGGTTTCTCGTGAGAACGTTTGATCTTTAAACCAAATATATACTAATTGGGTTAAGCTAAGAAGCAAGAAATAAGATAGTAGAAATTATGATTAAAGTTTATAGTACGTTTAGAAAACATACCAATAACACTGATATCTACAAAAGATAGTTTAGTCTGACTAGCTATGAATTAGCCAATTTGTCATCATTCTTATCAATTTCTTCCAGTAAACCAAGCGAAATCGAATTATTAACAGGAAAGTGGTTTAAGATAACAATAACTTACTGTAGTAATTTTGGATATAGAGAGCGATAATCTGATAAATGTGCACGAGCATATCGTAGGAGATAAGTTATAGGTATAATATCCCACAGTTTATTGGAATAAACACATGATGGTTCATTAGGTAAACGATCTGTATTAATAAGAAATATAGGATTATATGTACAATGAATAGGAAAAAAAGAAAACGAACTAAAACAAGCGAATTTATGGAGATTTTCAAGCGCAGGATGGCCGTTGTTTCCTAGTATAGAAATCCTCAACAATATGAGCGCAGGACCACATAGGAGATCGAATCCAGAAACTTCAGGCATCGCGACATGTGATTAGCTTTTAAACCACTGGGTCTACATATCCAACGGTTTACATGTCTAATTTCAATCGATTCGCGATACTTAACTACTATTTCCTAATGTTATGGCTGAATAAATGACTCGTACTCGGCATGTTTGAGCCACATTGACCACAGTTTCACACCAAATCTCCAGGAACTACCTCTCCAGACCAATTATTTGTAAACACATGATCATCATCAATGTGAGGAGTCCCATAACAAGACGAAACAGTCGGCCAGTGTTTTCAATGATTGTCTAATTAAGATAAACTAAAATAAAACTGAACCGATAATTTATACGATAATCAGTAATATGACTCTTTTAATGTATGTTTTCGACTATGAATAGTACTGTTTATGTAAGAACTAGTGGCTGAAGTATGAGTACAGTTCGAAGATACGATTTATCAGTTTGGATTGTCAAGCAAACTCTTTTATATCAGTTATATTTACTTTTGAAAAAAATATTTATGTCGAATGAACAAATTTTGCGCGTAGTTACTCCATGATAAGTGTTATCGACTAGTTAGTTGCTGACGAAAAGTCAAAATTGAATACAAAAAACCCCAAATCCACAAATATTTTTGTGGTTTTTACTGATACATATGTCTCCATGGTCTTACTTCACAAATTCAACATTGAATATTGTGCATTACACGATACAACTTCAAAAAGCTTGTTAATATGGACCAACAAAACATCAACGTCGTAAACGATGAGACTTCATCACGTTCGTTTTTATGAAGTGCATTAAAATGATTAGTAGGGGAAATTTTCGGCCTTTAGATAGTGTAAAATACGGATAGACAAGTGCGAATAACGTTAGGAGAGGCTCAAAAGTACACCATAATCTGTCATAATTTCAAATCGAACATGTAAACACACATAAAAACCATCTAGGGAAACCTAGGGACAGTAGTAAAGATGAATAATATTTATTTTATTTGAACACACAAATATTGGTACAAAGAGGCACCGAATACATGTACCCCACTGTTACGTCCGGCCGATTGTGAACGCTATATTCGCTTCACTAAGCTAGTTCCGCACCCCCGAGCTAGAACTACTCCGCGACTTGAAGACGAGAGAAAAGGCACAAAGTGTGAGGGAAGCACTTTACTACAGGGTTCCTTTATGTACAGAAAATACAGGGATTTTATAGTAATTTAAGAGTTCTTGAGTTTTACCAAAAGTTCTAGAATACTGCTAAACATAGAGGCAGTGTATAAATCAGCCAATCAGGATCTCTACATGTGACTTTACCATTTTCGTTATTTTAGTAACATAACTTTACATAACTTCTAATTAATCGCTAATTGGTTGAAATGCACCTTGATGACTCACGAGCTTGTCATGTCGCTTGCGAGAAAAATGCAGGGTCATCCCAACACCCACATAAGTCACTTGATTTGTGTGTGGGCTGGGATACTGCCCAGGTGCCCAAACTGAAGCAGGTGGTTTTCTTAGAGGGCCACACCCGGAGCCTTTGACCGGAAGATCTAATCCACAAGGCAGTGGAGCATCATAAGGAGATGCAGTCCCATGGTAGCCGGTGATCAACGATTGATTCATATGCCATTTGTTCCCTCAGGATACTGGAGCCCATGTGGACCATTGGTTTGGAATGAGGGTTTTCCAACTCCCATAGGTGGACTTTCCGTGTCCACCAACCCAGTTCAAGCACCGGACATTCGCTTTTCGTCCTCTTAGCTTCGTAAACAACAGTAATGCCACGAGGTAGTGATTAGGACTTCCCTGACAGAGGCTATATACGCATATCCATGTGAGAGCATTTGAACAGGGAGAGCGGACTCTCCTCACTCTCGGCTGTACCAGGGCATTTGGGGGCAAAGATAAATAATAAAATGTGGTTAACATAATGAGCGAACAAAAGTTTCGGAGAGGTAGTCTATCACTTAGAGACCAAAATAAATTATGGATGAAAATCTCAAGTATCGAGATCCATCCTGATTCATACCATATAAAGTTTTCTGCTAGGGTCTGGGCACCCGGGTAGTATCATAGCCCTCACACAATTAAATGAAATGACAATTTTTTTATGTGGCGCATATATCTGGTGCCACCTTGTACCAATATTTATACGTTCAAATAAATAAATAAAGTCTTCAGCAATCAATTTATCGTAGTTTGCGGTAGCAAATACTAGAGTAGAAAACAGCATGCTTCCAATAGTTCACACTACCAGTCTATCACTTCATAAATCAATAACACAATTTGTTATATAACAAGCTTTAGGTTATCCGGTAAATCTACTCCCACTCTTAATATCATTGACAAATTTGGTTATTTACGATGGTAAACTGTCACAATTATGTGAATAAATATTAACTAATGACATGTATTTGTTAATTATTAAACTTAACCCAAGAAATATTTACACATTCTTTAAGTGATAAATAAAACAATCATTGGAAACTGTGTAACGATAACCTGAACTATCATGAATGAGAAAACTGGACAGCAATGAGATTTGTTATTTTTGTAGCAGTTTTGACACCTTTGTATACTACTTACTACACAATCCACACAGTAGAATTTGACCTACATTATCCAAAATCTTTCTGAAAATATAAACAGGAAGGATCTGTAACATTATTTTGTTTTGAAGAATATAACTTAAAAACTATTTTGGTTAGTTTCCAACAGGAAACTCCACAGTTGCATATGTTTGTAAAGTATTATCAGCATAAAAATATTAATGATTGTATGCTTAATGCGAATACGTTGATAAGTCTATTTTTAACCAATCAGTAATGGTAGAAGAACCAAGAAGATAATTAAAATTCTAGAAAAATTACTGTGTTTTTGTTAATGCGCATTTTTTCTCCGACTCATTAAGAGTTATCTTGTACTTATATGGCCCAAGTTGAGTGAAGTGCAGTTGTCAAAGCCCCCGAATCCCCTGATACGGCCGAAGGTGAGGAGAGTCCGCTCTCCCTCTCGAAATACTCTCACATGGACACACACTGCCAGAGAAGTCCTACTCACTGCCTTCTCGTGGCATTACTGTTGTTTACGAAATTGAGAGGACGAAAAGCGAATGTCCGGTTATTTAACCAGGCCGACAAACACAGTGAGTCTACCTAGGGGAGTTGGAAAACTTTCATTCCAAACCAATGGTCCACATGGGCTCCAGTATCCTGAGGGAACAAATGGCGTATGAACCAATTGTTGGTCACCGGCTACCATGGGACTGCATCTCCTCACGATGTTCCACTGCCTTGTGGATCAAATCTTTAGGTCGAGGACTCCGGTTGTGGCCCCCTAAGAAAACCACCTGCTTCAGTTTGGGCGCCCGGACAGTATCCCAGCCCACACACAAATCAAGTGACTTATGTGGGGCATATGTATTCGGTGCCTCTTTGTACCAATATTTGTGTGTTCAAATAATAATAATAATAATAATAATAATAATAATAATAATAATAATAATAATAATAATAATAATAATAATGTCAAAGTGTACTAGACAAAAAACATGTAATAAAGTTTCGCAGTTGTGCGAAATATCAAGACAGACGTACAATACAAATAATAGATCGGACCATTGGTTTTACCGAAAAAATACTCTTTAATATTCCTCTCACTCCCCCGAAAAAAATAAACAATTAACTAACACCCAAATAAACTTAAAGATAGAGATCATGCTCATGCTTAGTACATTTTAAATTGTCGTTGATCAGTAAAACTGTAGGGAATAATCAGATTTCTGTTGGTATATGAGTTCCAAGCAATGGTGCTCCAATATAACCACAATCACAAGTCGATACCATTTGGTAGTGACTGTAAGTGATACGTAGTATTAAAGTTTCATTTTTGAAGCATGTTAGCCAGATAACCACATATTATTATGTTGAATGGTCGAAAGTGGTCCACAGAAAACCTTGTTTGATCTCAGTTTTGTGCTAATCGTCGCCTGTTACCAAGGTGTACCTGAAATTTTAAGGGAATTGGTGCTGCATCACGTGAGGCTCAAACGCGCACTACCCAGTCTCACAGTTTGAGATGTTGTCACTAAGTTGTTCGGGCCCCGACTGACCTCCTTTAAAGTTGAGATATATTTACAATTGATCGGTCACTACTTAATGATATATATATTGCTGTTTTTATTCACAAATTAATCCCAACAAAAAAGGAGACGCTAGATTCATCCACCAGGATGCTGAGATATGCAAAAGTCACCGGTTGTCCCCTCCCCCGAAATTCTGCCTTGAACTAAATAACTTGTATTCACAGTCCTCCTCAATAAACTCTAGAGGGTATCTAACTGAAGTAATAAAATGTATAAACTACACCACAAAATTAATGTCTTACATACGCTATGCACACTAACTTCTAGTCTGAGCCATGTTGGCAGATGCAGACTACTTGGTTGGGGTCCGCGTCACTATCGGAACCAATGGTTGGAGACTCTAGATGACATGGCTCAGAATCGATCACGATGGCGCAGGTGTATACACTCTTTATCTTCCCTTAAACCTGAAGATCAAAATTGCTTCATAACGTTCTTCCTTCCTATACTATATCCTTATATACAACCTATCTTTTATATACTACCACAACGAAATTAACTATTTCTATGAATTCGGTGTTCATCTTGTTGTGCCAACGAGGTATGGCAACTTGGACCGATGCATATGTGTACATGGTCCTACGTTGTAGCTGACGGACTGACACATTTAAATTGTATTTTGCATCGATAACAAAAAACCATCAAGAAAATTTCATTGCATATTCGATGGAAACAGTAATGTGCCATGATATTGTTTAACAAAAAAACTTACGTCGATTAGTTGTTAGGCGTAAATTGAACTGATAATCAAAAACAAAAAATGCATAATATAAAAATAATAATTGTGGAGTAAAATCTTGTTCTGTAGTTGAGATATACAAATGATCTACAGATTTATAATTAATTTTCGATTGTAAATGAATGCCTGGAGCACAAAATTGAATTAATTGAGAAGATTTAGAATTAGTGAATTCATTGATTAATTCTTGTTCAGAAATTAATGATAAGTTGATATAAGCTGTTGAAGTAGTAGCAGTAGTAGTAGTATTAGTAGTACCAGGAATATCATGATTTATTGACGATGAATTATTAGAATTGGAACTAAACGAATGAGTAATATGTGCTTCTAATAATTCCGGTAACAAGGGATGAATTGGACGTACACTTTCACGTACCTGTCCAATAATCCATTTCTATAATTAAAAATAAATAGATAAAATTTGAAAATTACATTGAAGTTATTATATTGGTGAGAGAAACAGCAGTCGTATTTATTAGCAATTTAAACCATAGGGTTCCAAAAAACCAATGGATTTCTTCTAAGTCTATTTCACTGATGGATTCGCGTAAACTCATCCCATCAGGCTCTGAACACGATGAAGAGCGTAAACAAATCAGATCTAGTTTAAACATACGTCTAAGGAACGATCGTGAGCAGTGGTAAGCAACGAAAGCAAAAGAGATAGAAAAGGCAGCGGCTGTAGGCAACACCAGGCAACTCTTCAGATTAATAAAAGAAACCGGAATTAATAAGTCAAGTGTAAGTAAAACGATCTCGGAAAAAGACGGAACCCTTACCTGCTCTCAGCCCAGACGTTTAGAACGATGGGCGGAACACTTAAAGGAGCAGTTCAGCTGGCCTTCAGCTACTGCACAACTACCCACTATTCCCAGACCGTCTGAATGGAACACTGAAGTAGGTCCCCCGACCCTACCTGAAGTTCAAAAGACTATAACAAACCTGAAACGAGGAAGAGTAGCTGGTGCTGATGGATTGGCTTCAGAGGTCTTTAAATACGGTGGCCCAATTTTAGCGACTAGGTTGACTAATATTCTGGCTAAAATCTGGGAGTTAAACGTAATCTCATCCGACTGGTCACAATCACTTATTGTCCCAATATATAAGAAGGGGCCAAAATCAATGAACAGTAGAAAAGCTTATTCAATTACTGGTGAAAATATGTCAGGTTTTCATTAGTTCTGGTACATTGGTGTCTGACGGCATGTCGTAGGTGAGATGCCTATCTAACTAAAGGACGAGTATACAGGCCAGCAGTTCGTTTCTATCTGCTTTATGGCTGTGAAGTGTGGTCCTTAAAAATAGAATATATGAGTATCACAATTGATTGATCACTGGGTGGTGATCAATCTCATGCGTGTCAGGTCCTTAGTGCTGATCGAATGCTATCGATCAAGTTGCAATGTGGCCACCAGTCTAGGTGGCTCGACACTGTGGCACTATATATATTAGGGTAACATGGTGGTTGGAGGTGGTCAACAGGAAACCCTGGACCCGGGTTTCGTGCTACTTGGCACTCGTCAGCAAGGTGTACCTGTAATCCTGAGGGAACTGATGCTCCCTGGCGGATTCGATCCCGCGTCACTCAGCTTCACAGTCAGAGACGTTACCACTGAGCTATTCGGGCCGCGACCGACCTCCTGTAGGACTGAGATCTAATCACAATTGATTGATCACTGGGTGGTGATCAATCTCATGCGTGTCAGGTCCTTAGTGCTGATCGAATGCTATCGATCAAGTTGCAATGTGGCCACCAGTCTAGGTGGCTCGACACTGCGGGCACTATATATATTAGGGTAACATGGTGGTTGGAGGTGGTCAACAGGAAACCCTGGACCCGGGTTTCGTGCTACTTGGCACTCGTCAGCAAGGTGTACCTGTAATCCTGAGGGAACTGATGCTCCCTGGTGGATTCGATCCCGCGTCACTCAGCTTCACAGTCAGAGACGTTACCACTGAGCTATTCGGGCCGCGACCGACCTCCTGTAGGACTGAGATCTAATCACAATTGATTGATCACTGGGTGGTGATCAATCTCATGCGTGTCAGGTCCTTAGTGCTGATCGAATGCTATCGATCAAGTTGCAATGTGGCCACCAGTCTAGGTGGCTCGACACTGCGGGCACTATATATATTAGGGTAACATGGTGGTTGGAGGTGGTCAACAGGAAACCCTGGACCCGGGTTTCGTGCTACTTGGCACTCGTCAGCAAGGTGTACCTGTAATCCTGAGGGAACTGATGCTCCCTGGCGGATTCGATCCCGCGTCACTCAGCTTCACAGTCAGAGACGTTACCACTGAGCTATTCGGGCCGCGTGCCAAGTAGCACGAAACCCGGGTCCAGGGTTTCCTGTTGACCACCTCCAACCACCATGTTACCCTAATATATATAGTGCCCGCAGTGTCGAGCCACCTAGACTGGTGGCCACATTGCAACTTGATCGATAGCATTCGATCAGCACTAAGGACCTGACACGCATGAGATTGATCACCACCCAGTGATCAATCAATTGTGATTAGATCTCAGTCCTACAGGAGGTCGGTCGCGGCCCGAATAGCTCAGTGGTAACGTCTCTGACTGTGAAGCTGAGTGACGCGGGATCGAATCCACCAGGGAGCATCAGTTCCCTCAGGATTACAGGTACACCTTGCTGACGAGTGCCAAGTAGCACGAAACCCGGGTCCAGGGTTTCCTGTTGACCACCTCCAACCACCATGTTACCCTAATATATGAGTATGTTACCAATATTTGATCATAAGTATCTTTAAAGCATTGCTCGGGTATATTAGGACTACTAAGTAAGTAATGTAAAGACCAAGGAGTACTAAGAAAACATAAGAAACTGGTTCAGATTCTCTGCTTCAGTAATTATAATTGTGCTACATTCTGAATTCTGACTTGGATAACTTTATGTCAATTCATAATGAAATCTACTTACAAACGATACGAACTATCCACAAAATCATATAACTTAACCATTATCTATGTTTGATTTTAAAAATTTGGCAAGTGTCCAATGAATCTAATTTTAATCATTTAATTAGTAAAAGGAAATACACAAAAAACAAGACAAATTATCAATGTACAACGATAATCAGTATTTTCAATTTCATACTGACATTAGAAATACCCGAATTGCATTGGTGGTTTTTTGTTTGTTTTTTTTAAAAAATAAAGGGTATCGAAAAATAGAGATATATGTAGATAAGCAGATAGATATATCTTACCTTAGTATGTAGTTTATTTTTAGCAAATGCATGTGATTTAAGTAATTGTAACATACATTGAGTTGGTAAATGACCAACTAAATGTCGACTCAATTTTGGAGTAATTGGAATTCGTGCAACTTGATTAGCAATCATCTACATATAACAAAATAAAAAGATCTTTAATGAATATACTTCATTCAACTGATTAATTACATAAAATGTGCATTTACTAAAGGAATTTTCCATTTTCATAAGAGTTGATATTAAAGTACCCAAATGCCCTGGTACGGCCGAGAGTGACGAGAGTCAGCTCTTCCTTTCGAAATGCTCTCACATGGCAACGCGTATATAGCCTCTGTCAGGGAAGTCCTACTCATTGCCTTCTCACAGTGGCATTACTGTTGTTTACCAAATTGAGAAGATGAACAGCAAATATCCGGTGCTTTAACCGGGTTGATGGACATGGAAAGTCCACCTATGGGAGTTGGAAAACCCGGACTTCAAACCAATGGTCCACATGGGCTCCAGTATCCTGAGGGAACAAATGGCATATGAATCAATCGTTGGTCACTGGATACCATGGGACTGCATCTCCTCACGATGCTCCAATGTCTTATGGACCAGACCTTTAGGTCGAAGGCTCCGGGTGTGGTCCCCTAAGAAAACTACCTGCTTCAGTTTGGGCACCTGGGCAGTATCACAACCCTCACACAAATCAAATGAGATTTGTGCAGCGCATATATATCTGGTGCCCCTTTGTACCAATATTTATGTGTTTAAATAAATAAATAAATAAATAAATAAAATGATATTAAACTTAGTTTATTACGACATGTTGTAATCGAGTATAACATTGTTAATACTTGAAAGCTAGAAGTAGATTAACAATTAGATAGATATTAAATAGTAACAGGTCAGATAGCTTAGTGGTAAGAAGTCAAAATAAAGTTCTAGGAAATGTAGGTTAAGATATTTTCTGGAATATCATTTCTTTCAAGATAGTAAAAATACTCCCTATTGATTAGTGTAAACCAGAACAACAGAAAAAATTCCTTAAATTATTATTTTTAGTTAACGACTCAGTTAAGAACTAATTTCAATGAATGAGAACGTAAAGAACATTAAGAATATGAACCTATCAGCTAAAGAGTTTCTTGATCTTATAAAAACCTTTAGAGGTGGCAAATAGTTGATATGACTAAAATGAGAGGGGTAAATTCAATAGTCAGATGAAATTAGGTTATTGAATTTGAAGTTTTACATCACGGAGTGACTAACCTTAGTCAGAAAACCACTGAAAACCAAGAAGCATTAGACAGGTATTTCATCCTGATGAAGGACTCCTCATCGATGCTGACTCAAATGTCTGAAGGCACTTATTTTGATTGACAGTGGGTCGTACATGGGTGTTTTTGAGGAATACCATTCTACGATGAAACACGTATCTAACCATTTTTGATTTTCAATGGTTGTCTAATCAAAGCTAGTCCGTGGTTTGAAATCGGATTCATCATGGATAAATATTATCAGATTGAAGTTATGTTTCCTAGTATTAATGCTAATCCATTTTACATACATTGATCACTTTATACATGTTCTTTTAGATGACACTAATGATTTTTTGTCATGTCACATCTACATTCGCTAGTTTGCACAGACAATAATTTGGTACAGATAATGCATACTTCTCTTTAGACACAACATAATCTAATGACTTGTTTTTCTAGACCAAACAAAGTGTTTACGCACTTTATCTAGGTTATTGTTCACATGTACCTCCAAGCTATTTAAGTTCAAATAGTAACCACCTAGTGTATTGAACACAATAAGTAGTATGTTTCTTTAAGAAATAGTATGTATAGGTTGTTAATGCATTATGATGATAATGATTTAAACAAAACTTACATTTTCTGTAAAAACAGTTTGGAAAAATAATTTACGCCATCCATTGATAGTTCGTCCAAGTGATGGTATACGTAGACCAAGTAAATTTGATATTAATTCGGTAATTGGTCCAGGTTGATTTGTATGAAATAAGATGGCTAGAAGTAGTAAAGGTTCAACGTACGATGTTGTTTTTGAAAATTGATTACAACTACGCAGATAAGGTGACGATGATGATGATGATGATGATGATGATGATGATGATGATGATGATGATGATGATGATGATGATGATGATGATGATGATGATTGAGTTAGTGAATTGAAAATATCTTGTTCATCTATTAAGCGTTGAAGCCAATTTACAATTGTATTTTCAATATCTGTTGTATTTGCAGGAATACGACTATTGTTATGCATTACGCCATTAGTGTCTGAAGATATTCTACATGCAATAAGATGAAATCAGTTCAGGATTAGAGTTAAATTGAATATCAATATTGAAATCAACATTTGCAAGTAGAATAAAAGAAAACATATATTGTCATTATGGATAAGATATATTATGTTTTATGATGGGGTGACATTATTTAGGTCAACAGTTTTTATATCGAATTCATTATGAATTTAGGCCAGCGTGATGAGCGTGAACTTTCGTTCAGTGTGACGTTTTCAGGTCAATATTTCTTGTACCGATTCAACATAAACTTCGTTCGATATGACAAATGATAAGTTTCCGTTTAGTGTGACGATTAGATTCCCTGTATTTATTCAGGTGAGCTATATTTAATTTGTGTTTTTACAGTAACTCTGTATTTTCCTCTATATGTCACATTCTTGTGTGTAAAAATTAGTATATAAATGTATTTTGATCTAATGACATGATTTTGAGGGATTTTTGGGGTCATGACTTTTGGAGAACCAATAAATCATCATTTACACCAATCTTTAGGTTCACATTTCACATCGTGAAAATTACAGTGGTTCCTGTCCCCATAGACAGTAGGATCGCATATGTTACATTTTTTTTATTATGCAATCAATCTGGACTTCGCCCGTTCGTGCATTACAATAGTAGAGAGGATTAGACGTAGACAATGTCATTTGAGAAGAAAGTAATAATTCACGGCAAGAAACTTAATATAACTTTAAAACTCAAAATCTAAGGGAGGATAAAGAGTGAATGTATATGGGCTATTTGAAACCAATTCTAAGCTATATCATCCAACGTCTTCAACTATTTATCACGATAATCATGGGGATCCTAACCAGTAAGTTTGCACCTGCCTACAAAACTCTGACAAACATTTAATGACCTCACGAATTGATCTCATATCTTAGCTCAGATGATACTAACTTTCTAACATACTCTTAAATCACTAAACATCCCCCCAATGTAGAGTAAAAGTTGCTTATGAAAAGTTTGTTTAACAATGCAAATCTTTGAATGGATTGATATCACCTCTTCAGAATATGTAATAAAAGTTATCATTTGCTGTTCAATGATCAGTCTAATGAATGTGGTGTTCTTTTATAGTTGGTGCCATGATTTGCTTAAAATCCTTACTATAACGAAACAATTTGTTGTAATCTATACATAAATAACTTACCCTGTCGCCAAACTTGAACGTAACCCAATTAGGAATGCAAGCGAATAACTGATATATTGTAAGCCACGTTCAGAAACAACTGTTCGATGTGTAAGAAGAATCAATAATTTTTGCGACAGTTCTGGTGGGAAACTGCAATAATTTTGCAGAAAGATGACAATATACTGATTTAAATAATGACAATAATACATTTATTATAACTAATAAAAGGTATTCAAATAACTTTCAGTATAGAATCAGTTACAAAGCTTTTGAAAATTGAAAATAAATGTGAGGTAGTTTGAAAAACTTAGTGAACTACCACTCTAAGTTCACTTTTTTAATGCCTAAAATCATATCCACAGACATTAGAGATTAAAGGAGAGAGTAGATTGTGTTAGTGGATACACACGAAGGTAAACAGACAGAGTTTACACTTTACAGATATGGAAAATATTCTTCCGCTTGTTAAAGTTGGTCGTAGTTTTCTAGTGAAAATGTTTTCTTAATTGTCAAGAGCACACCGTCCTGAAGTATTTCGGGTGTGTAATCAACTTTAAGTCCCAAATTTATATGAAAATACCTCTCCTTGGATGCATTTGGGGATAATTACTTTAGTTATTGCGATTACCTCATACCCTTCCCCACTTTAATTACTCGATCAAACACTCAACATCACATTCATAACCACTGTGGAAGTAATGTAACGTACTATTACACAAATATTATCACTTAACTTATCCTAAATTATAATCGTTATATATATATATGCAAAGCTATGATGTAAGGCTAATCAAAAAGAAATATTTCTTCGCTCTATTTATTTTTCTTTACTAAAAGCCCTAGTTATAATAACGGATTTTTAATATGAATTAGCTTGTTTCCGAACAAACGGAATACTACTTATTGAAGAATTTAATATATCCAAGGTATAGTAAATTTGGCAAATGAATATAATTAAATAGGAAATACCAAGAATGATTTACTGAAAAAAGTATTACGAGAACCAACCATTTATTTTTTTAAGAGTGCGTTGTGCAAAAGCCGAAAGAAAATTTAAATTCTCAGTAAACAAATTATACTACCAGGAACTAGTAAGTAGTATATTTGCCCCACTGAAATAAATATTTATGAGAACTACATTACTAAAACGCATTAAGTAACCTTGAACTACACAAATATTTCTTTAGCCAATTGCTTAAACGGTGAATTAAAAACAATAGTAGGAAAAGGAAGAAACAGCTTACTTGTAATTTATAAATCCACGAAATGCAGCTAACACACGAAGTAATGTTAACGCAGTGAGAATCATGCTATCATCCAAAGGAATTGCAGAATCACGTGGTATAAGACAAGAAGTGATTTTTATAAAATGATGACTTAGATTATCCAAGTACCATGACGAAGACTAAAAAATATCATAGTGAAAAAGCCATATTGAAATCCATGGGTATATTAGAGACAATAGAAATCATTAGATACATGTAATCTGGACCTACAGAACATCTTGCATTTCCGTTTATAAATAACGAAGTTCGAACAAATAATCAAACCGTGCACATGTTTACTGATTGAATTTTTTGAAACCTGACATTACAAGCACCTAATATTGAGCACATTTAATGAACCTTGTTAAAATCCTAATTCGAAATCAAAGTACCTTATGAGTTTAGGTATATAGTCTAAAGACATTATGTTGCACAGTAAAAGGCCGTCAAATAAATATGGTGTGGAGAATGTTAGGATTAAGTAAACTGTGACCGCACACTAACTTTAATAGTGAGTTTCCTTTTCACTTACATAATATACCATTCATGAATCTTTTGTTGGTTTCATTAAAGCAGCTCTTAATTCTATCCTATTTAACTCAATCAGCAATAAATATCAATCAATCTTTTTGTTAAATTTGGATGATGATGTTCGTCCCAGAATTAATTTTAAAGCCAACCTCAGAACTTTCAAACATTTTTGCGGATATCCGCTCTGTTTTACTTATATGGTCGAGTCAACACATCCGAAGTTTAAGTACTGTATCCATTTTAGCAAAAACAATTATGAGGTACACGTAAAATACGATTTACGGAAACAACTGACTATATCCCATATAAGCAACCCATTTTTTCAGTCAAACAGAATTGTTACTACTTTGTAGTTATATTATTTAAGTTTGTTTGCAATATTATCATCAAATACAATCACCTGTTTTATGTTTTGAGATTAAATATCTTTTAATCTTTTTGTTAATAAAACAAAAAGTATCTACATCAACATAAAATCATCCCACTGATAGACCTTACTTTGCCCAATAATACAGTTAAAAATAAGTTTATCCCTCATTGACGAGCTGTATGTATATGTTCCTAACAATTATACCTTAATGTTTTGTTTCGACATGAATATTATTTTATATTTCGTGAAAGTCCTGATCGATGAAAACTCGTTCTATACATTCATATCAACAAAAGACAACCACAGTTACATGGATAAGACTCCTTCAAAGTCAGCATAAAATTTACTACTGATGAGCTAGTCTACGCTTTATCATGTTACCGATTGTAACCAAAACTTACTACATATGCCATCACAGTGTGCACAATGTGAAGGATATGAGAAAAAGCCCTACTTTTGCCTTTGATGATCTAATGCTCCTAATGAGATATAAAATACAATAACTCGTGATCCAATTTAGTTAACATGAATATTAGGTGCAGCTTAAGCCCAAGAACCCAAGTTTCGAAAGGTTAGAATAATAGAGTAAATAAAGTAAATTAATTTAATGGATTAGCTGTGTATATATCTATCAAGTTTGTCCATGGAGATGTGTTATTAAAAAAATATGAGAGAATCAGAGACACTTACTGGGAGCTTTAGAAAATTGCTTATCCAAGATCGAATGTCTTGTCCACTGTCTAGCAAAATCCTTTTCAAAAAATTTAAGGTGTAACCCTCTTTATTGATCAACCCAAAAAGTATATCCAAAACTAAGCCGGGAAACTGACGGGTAGTAATCTGAAAACAAAAAGTATACGCAGCCATGTTTCAGTTGCAAGCATCGTTCCACAAGTGTGAGTAACAACACTAGATACAAATTCGAATATAATTAAACACTTCCAACGTATTGGATAGCGCATCACAAACTAAGGCGGGATTCTGGACTATAAAGTGAAGTAAGCATAGCTAACAGTTGCACAGACATGAGTCTTAGGTTCGGTGCTAGTCAAATAATCTGTGAACTTAGGTTTTAAAGATCAAAAGTTGGAATCTCAGTGACGCATGTAGTTTTTGAAACTGTACAATAATTCCAGTAATTATAAATTTTGGTAAATAAATATAGAACACAAGTCGAATCCTGACAGACAATAAGCAGTATAGAAGGGTATAATTGAAATAGAGTGCAATTCAAATGACTGAAAAATTGTCGGATTACCTAACTAGGTGTTCTTATAGGGCATTAAAGCTGAACGTTTTGCAAATGGACTGACAAACTTTACTTAAAGAATAGAATAATGAATAAACCTTAGGTGAACTGCAATCAAAGTTTTGCAGAAGAACCACAGGTAAATAGGTAAACAATGTAGTCGTTGTTATAGTAAGTAGGTAAGCTAAGTTCTCAATTACTCGTGAGAATGTACTTTTGTTAAGATGGTACCTGAATTCCTTTGCTGAAACAGAACAACCTTTTCTGTTTCTTAAATTTTAACACTACTTTTGTGAACACAATAACTTCATATTCATAATGATGACCCAGTTTTTATTAAGTGGGAAAACTCACGCAATTCTCGATCACTGTAACAGAATCGTGTGGGTTTAATTTCACCAGGTAAAACAAAACTGTTTGAATACGACATGACAGTGAAAATGGATTTAAAAAGGCTCCAATGTCCGACATGGAATGCGGAAGACGCTGGCTCCCGTCCTTATCTTGCGAATTGTCACCTTGGCAGAAGGATCTGAAATACATTGATGAGTAGTTGAGAGACACACTTATCTGTAAGGGACTTCCCCAGCTTCCATAATTCATGGACTATATGCCACCAATCAGAGGGTAAGTTAACTGCCAGCTTCATTAAAATACTGTGATTGACACTATTACAGTGAGCCAAATAACCACAAAAGAATTTTCCAACTAAGTGGTAATTTGAAAGACCTTGAGGTTGTATTAGATATCTATACAAACTAACCATGAAATATAAAACATAGGATAATAAAAACTTCAGTCTCTAGAGCTTCAGCTTCCATGAGTTCGCAACAGCTTTCTAACGAGCATTTTGGATCCGGCTTCTAAAGATAAGAACTAGAATAATCATATCAACCCACGTCGTCGCATAAATGAATGATAAGGAGCATGAGCGTCTTTACCTTCCCCAAAGCATTTTGTGATTCGTAATTTAGAGTGAGGGAAGGAAATGAAGGGATAGAACTATAATGCATGATCTGAGAAAAAACAACGCTTACGAAAAAGAATATTCAGTGCATGTTTCTTCCCATAGTACAGGGATTTTCAAACTTCTAAGGCAATTCAAAGTGTGGATTAGATTATCCAGAAGATGACGAAGATCATGTGTCATCGAAACTCTTGAAATGCATTGCATTAGATCATCAGACTGATACAAAACAGGAGAAAGAATAAGAACTTCCTCAGATTTGATATCATCAAAGTCACATGTTAGCGACTTCTCGAAAAGCATATTGTAACGAACAACTTGAGAAAGCCTCTTAAATCAAATGTATTCAATATCTGCATCACTGTGACAAGCTGGTGTAAATCAGAGGCTTTATTTACATAAGCTATTTATTGTTTCATTAAGGTCCATTGTATTTGGTTATGTCCCATCAGAGGTAGTCTAGCTACCCGACTGGATCTTCAGCCCTCACTAATAAGGATAGTAGGTTGGTGAACCTGTGTTAATCCTGACAGATTTCCTTCCAATGAAGGTTCAGCTTTTCCTTGAAAATCTTCACTGATGCAGCTGCTGCCTTTTGTTCAGGTAGGTTGTTCCAGTCATAGACTACTCGATTAGAATCACGGGATCCTACCTTTAGTTTATTAGATCGCGGATTTGTGAACCTTCTTGCCATAACCTCGGAGATTATAATGTTGTTCCGTGCTTCATTAATCGTTCACCCTGATAACCGTTATAATACCGATCTTAACGGTGTATAATATCGGAAGGAAAAGGGAAGCGGCAACTACATTTTTATTGATGAATGATGCAGACCAGGAAGCTGTGGGCACATGAGCAAGTGTAAGCGAGCGAAGCAAAGATGATGCATAGTGGAGATGGCTGGGAAGCCAACTCGAGAGCGAAGCGAAAACAATGCGTATTGGAGATGGCTGGGAAGCCAACTCATTTTAAGCAAGCGTCAATCAACATTTATGGTCAGACAAAAATGAATGACAGACATATGATGAATAGGTTACGAAGGGTACACATATACGCTCATATAAAAATATAGTCAGGGTTAATAAGCGAATAATGAACAAGTTCAAAATATGACTCATAATGGATAGGCAAATTGGCTTGGCCAGTAGCTAGAATAAAATATATGGGCTTAACATATAAACTGATACTACAATAAGTACTGGAGGGAGCAAAGAGATAAGACATTAACACACAAATCATAATTAAGGATACAAAATGCCAGTGTAGCTGTAAATAATTCCCCAAAATCAATAGCTCGTTAAGTGTTCAACATTGGATGCTGACCACGTTGTTTAGGTAGACTTGTGTAGCTGAAGGCTTTCGGTCATGCATCCGTACCAGATCACGTTGCAACACGGCGTGGGACACAGCTCCTACGTTACAATAGCCAGTTAAGAACGAAGTCTCTCGATATATTGGTAACGAATCAAATATATCTTTCTTGTCTCTCCTCGTCTGACTTCTGGTTTCTATTCGACTGGGAACGATCGATTATAGAAGATACTACTGGTTGCTAGTTGTAAAACTAGAATATCCGTGGTATCCTCAGTGGTGAGACCGACGTGATCTGGTACACCAAGCCAATATACTGTGAGTCTGTTCCATTTTTGAATATAATTATTCATTGTTATTCTTTATTTGAATTTTATATATTGTGATATACTTTTTTTCGCAGATTTTTTTTCCCGGATATATTTTAATTAGACATTTTTCGTTACCTATATTACTAAGACGGAACACTCTCCTAAGGTTCTTAAGTTTAAGTCTATTCCCTCTATTTCGATTCACTTAACGCCATTTTGGCCCGACAATATCGAGTCCTGGTTCTGCTATGCAGAAGCTGATTTTTGCATGCACAGAACCACGGACTCGCGCACACGATTCCTCGCGGTAGTTAAGGCGTTACCGCGCGAGTTTAACAGGTACGTAACACCTAGTATGTTTACTAGCGATGTTCCTGAACCTTACGAAACTCTCAAATGTTCGATTCTAAAACGTGGGGACCTAACCGACCGACACCGGTTAGACCAATTCCTCCATAACATCGACTTGCAAGATGGTTCTGCGACAGACATGTTGCTAAGAATGAGAGAGGTTATTGGCCAACGAACTTTCGATGATGGCCTATTCAGACAACTCTTCTTGTCTAAACTTCCTCATCAGGTGCAGGCAGTGCTCGTCTCATTTCAAAACAACGCCATAGATGAGCTGGCTGCATCTGCCGACCGAATCTTAGAAATCACTAAATCTTCTAAGGCCGAGGTTTTTTAAGTCAAGGAAAAACCCCAATCGACCCCGACTGACATAGCCGAACTATGTCACACGCTTACACGATGCCTTAGAGTTCGTAATGACTGCAGTCGGTCAAAATCCCCGCGTAGAAGTGTCTCACCTAGGCGATCTGGCTCTCGACCACGAGAGACAGACAATCCCGACTGATGCTGGTATCACAACCAGTACGGTAAATCTTCTAGAAATTGCAGGAAGCCCTGCGATTACCCGAATTCTAAAGCGACTGACACGAATAAGATTTCGGGAAACTTCCCAGTCGGCACGCGTTAACGGCAACCGTAGCCGGCGAACACAGCCGCCTCTTATATGTCACGGATGTGTTTACGAAAGTTCGTTACCTCGTCGACACTGGCGCAGAAGTTAGCGTTCTTCCAGCAAATCCCTACGACAGACTTCACGAGTCTGTTTTAAGTTTACAGGCGGCAAACGGAAAGCTGATCGCTACTTACGGTAAAAGGTACGTCTACCTTAACGTGGGTCTACGCAAACCCATACACTGGATTTTCGTGGTTGCAGATGTCTCTATGCCAATCATTGGTATAGATCTGTTACAATACCACAATCTACTCATCGACACACGCTCACGAAGGTTAATAGACGGAAACACTAAGTTATCTGTTTGCGTAACTCACTGTTCTGGTTGCAGGTTATCCCCAGTCACGATTAAGCACACCATAGACCCCTTGTAACAATCAGTACTCGACAAATACCCCGGGATATACCAATCGCAATCGAAATTGCCTTGTGTAACCAGCAATGTTACACATCGCATCTCGACTACAGGACCTTCTGTATTCTCGAAAGCCCGTCGACTCGCTCCCGAAAAACTTAGGTTAGCCAAAAAAGAATTCGATCACATGATAGACTTAGGTATAATTCTACCATATATTTGTCTATGGTCATCCCCATTGCACATGGTCCCTAAAAAGGACAGCAATGATTGGCGGCCAACTGGTGATTATCGGCGTCTGAATGCAAAAACCATTCCCGATCGTTAGCCGTTGCCTCATATTCACGATTTGACAGCTACCTTGAAAGGTACAACTGTCTTTTCAAAAATCGACTTAGTTAAGACCTATAACCAAATACCGATGGCACCTGACGACGTTCTTAAATTCGCCATCATCACTCCTTTCGGTCTTTACGAATTCTTGCGAATGCCTTTTGGTTTAAGAAATGCGGCTCAAACCTTCCAAAGGTTTATAGACGACGTCTTCCGAGGTCTCAACTTCGTACGTGCGTATGTTGATGACTGTCTAATAGCAAGTCCGGACAGAGAATCGCATCTCAAGCATCTGGACATTGTTTTCGATCGACTCCAAAGGCATGGCATTACTGTAAACATTTAGAAATGTCAAATCGGAACTAACTCCTTAGACTTCTTAGGACACACTACTGATGCCCATGGCATCCGACCCCTTAGGAGCAAAGTGGCGGTCATTCTAGATTACCCAGAACCAACCACGATCAAACAGTTACGAACTTTTAACGGACTTGTAAGTTTCTATAGACGGTTCATACCCAAATGCGCATCCCTTATGAAACAGTTAACCGATCAGCTTCGTGGAAATGCGAAATCAATTAGTTTAGACGACACAGCCCGTAAAGCATTCTCCACAGTTAAGGAACACATCGCTAAAGCAACCCTGCTTGCTCATCAGGACACTCAAGCGCCCATTAGTATCGCCGTAGACGCATCCGACTCAGCAATCGGAGGAGTCTTACAACAATTAGTTAACAACTCGTGCCAACCCTTAGGATTTTTCCCGAGACGGTTGCTAGACGCGGAATCTAGGTACAGCACGTTCGGTAGGGAACTCCTAGCTATGTATTGTGCTGTACGGCATTTCCAACATTCCATCGAAGGAAGAGAATTCACACTTTTTACTGATCACAAACCTCTTACCTTCTCGTCAAGTTCATCTTCAGACAAGTACTCACCGCGAAAGTCTCGACAACTCGACTACATTTCGCAGTTTACTTCAGACATACAACACATTTCTGGAGCTAAAAATGTAGTCGCAGACGCCTTGTCTCGAATAAGTTCTTTGAACAGTTTCCAAGGAATCGACCTTCTTAAACTCGCTCAGCTTCAAAAAGAAGACATTGATCTTCAGCATGAGTTATCCTTGACAACTCTTAAACTAAGTATTTAGAAGATGGGAACAGGTAAGGAAACCTTACTCTGTGACACATCTACAGGCAGGGATCGTCCAATAGTACTAAAACATTATCGACGCAACGTCTTCAATACGTTGCACAATCTTTCTCATCCAGGTGCTAGTGCAACAGTCCAACTTATAGCCGAACGCTTTTGTTGGCCTGGCATGAATAAAGGCGTGAGGGAGTGGGCACGCTCCTGTGTAAGCTGTTAGAAATCTAAGGTCATAAGACACAACAAATGTTCCCTAGGCTCTTTCAAAACCCCTGACGCTCGTTCGACCACGTCCATCTAGATTTGGTAGGACCCTTACCCGACTCAAACGGATACTCATATCTCCTAACATGCGTGGACCGTTTTACTCGATGGCCAGAAGCAGTACCGATTAAGGACATTACTGCTGAAACCGTGGCCCGCGCTTTCGTCGAACGATGGGTAGCAAATTTTGGCTGCCCTTCCACGATCACTACAGACCGCGGACGCCAATTCGAATCTGGACTTTTCCGTTGTCTCACCTCACTATTAGGAATCACGCGCTTCCGAACGACCGCCTACCACCCACAAGCAAACAGGTTGGTAGAACGTTTTCATCGACAACTAAAAGCTTCATTATCAGCTTCAAACGTTTCACAGTGGACAGACGCTCTTCCACTCGTCTTGCTAGGTATCCGCAATGCAATGAAAGCTGACTTTGGATACACGGCATCTCAACTCGTTTACGGAACGACACTCCGACTCCCAGGAGAACTCGTGGATCCTTCAGCTTCTTCATTGAACATGGATCTAAACTCTTACACGAGTAGGCTTTCAA